TTGAATGCTGCTCTCAAACGGCCCATTTCCTACCCTGCTCACCTAAGGACTGAAAGATCTACAAAGAACCTTACACCTCTAAAAGAACTTTTTTAAAGCCATAATGAAACCAAGTATCACCTTATATGGCTTTACTCTTTGTCACATTTTGTCTTCATAATATCTTTCTAAAGTAAGTAGGACCAGCAGGTGTATCTGTTTTACAGATAAGGTAAATGAGGATGGAAAAATCAATGTGGAAAAAAAAAAAAAAAAAAAAAAGTAGAAAATAACTGATGAAGAAGAACTCTGAAGCCCCATGGTACCAAAGCAAAAAGAAACAAGTCCCTCCTTAAACCACTTGACAGAAGCTTGGGAGAGAAAATGAAAAGAACATCAGAGTGTGGTTAACTAGTGTCTTACTAATTGGAGTTTAAATAGTAGGAAAAGGTATATAATTTATTTGTAAGTGCTGCCATTGATTTAAGCTTTGCTATAAATTTATATTAAGGCTTAGAGTGGTGGCTCATGCCTCTAATCTCAGTGTGTATGGGAGGCTGAGGCAGGAGGATCACAAGTTTGAGCCCAGTCTGGGCAAGTTAGTGACTTAGCAAGACCCTTTCTCAAAATAAAAAATAAAAAAGGGATTGGGGATATAGCTCCATTCATAGGCCTTGGTTTCAATCCTCAATACAGCCCTCTCTCCCAAAGAAAAGAAAAAAAGGGTAGAATTTAAGATATATTGTTATATTAATAATAAATCACTTTAACCAGTGTTTTTAGAAAATGAAAAATTTGACATACATTGCTCTATTTTTTTTTTTTTAATGAAACTTTTGGTTTTATTTTTTGGTACTACTGGGGATTGAACTTGTGTCCTTGCGGTTGCAAGGCAATCAGTGGACCCTCTTGAGCTAAATCCCCAGCCCAAATGAAGCTTTTAAATAAAAGTTTTTAAAAAAAGCTTCAAGCATTTTTTTAATAGGCATTTTCTTTACATGTATCATTTAGGGGATAAACTTACTCAGCATATGTGGCCTACAGCCTAAATCCTTTTTTTGAAATGCAGAAGACAAATAAATTATGAACATAATGTACTTGTTTCTTGAAGACAAGCTCATCGCTCTGTTATATATTAAACTATAACATATTGTGGAACATCCTCCCAGGGGCTTGTAGTTATTTGTAGCTTACTAAATTGTTCCACTCATTTGTGTTTAAAAACTGAAAACAAATAGGATATGACTTACTTCCTAGTCCCTTTTACGTCATTGGTCATATCTTATTGCTACGTTGTGCTGCCATAATCTATCTTGCTTCATTCTAGTTACGTAAGTGGTACTGTGTGTGATAAGCCTGTTGGGCAATTCTGACTGTCCTGTGAAATGAAAATTTTGGACTTTATGGATAGATACCTTCCTCAGCCTTTTGTTTATTATCTGTGTTCAAAACTGTTAGAAGGTTGCAAGAAGTCTACCGTATAAATAACTGGAATGTTGTTATCATTGCGGTTTTATAAAAAACACAATTAACTTGAGTACATGCTAAATTGTGCCCACGTAATTATCCTTGATGGTTGTAAACCTAACAGGTTGCTTAGGTAACCAGTCCTGAGCCAGCATTAATCCTTTCAGAGGCCACCTGTAAAGGGTGCATAGCATCTGTTAACAGTGCTAACTTTATTCTTCCAATTACTAAACTGATAAAAAGAGGCAGATGTCACACATTGGTGCATAGGAAAAAAACCTAGTATATCAGTATTACAGTGTTGAATTGTCTGCACTGAGGTAACCTAAAGAAAGCTGATACTAAAAAGCATGGTGTATTGAAGAATCAACATTGTGCTGAAAAGGCATTTTTTTTTCAGATTCATTCTGATATTTATCTTTGTTAAAAGTCATGAACTAAAACATGTGCCCTTTGTTCCAGGGGTGGCCATCCATACCTGACAGGTTTGGCAGTGGCTGGAGGAGCTTATTACCTAGGCCTGGAAGGAGCAATTATTGGGCCCATACTTCTCTGTATACTTGTGGTTGCTTCCAATATCTATAGCGCCATGCTGGTGAGCCCTACAAATTCAATGCCCACACCAAGCCAGACACCATGGCCAGCTCAGACTCAGCGGTGAGTTCAAGCAGAATGATCATAAACCATGGGTAAACATTGAACTGTCCTGTCTCTGTGTTTGGTAGTTTTATTTATATTTGTCAGGATAAAGGTATTTAATACTAATGTTGTGATAAGCATTATAAAAGATACTAAAAATTATAAATCACTGGCAGACTTTCCAGGAAAATTTAAGGCTATATTAAGTCAAAGTTATTAATGCCATAAAAGGCCAAAAATAATATAAAAGAGGGGAGTGGAACTTGGTATACTGGACTGAAGCAGAGACTCACTTCAAAATAGAGTAACCAAGAGCTGGGTGTGACTGCACATGTCTGAGATCCTAGCAGTCAGGAGGCTGTGGCAGGAGGATTGTGGGTTTGAAACTAGCCTGGACTATATATATTGAGAGCTTGTCTCAACAAACAAAGCATAAAAGAAAACAGAAACAGGATACTCAGATGCAATGCATGAATCTACGATGGGTTTCTAGATTGGAGTTGAATGGAATCTATAAATGACATTTGTAGAACAGTAGGGTGCTTGGAATGTGGAATGTGATATAGTTAGTATTAAACTTCTTGGGTATGATGATAGTACTTGGTTATATAGAAGAATGTCCTTTAGGGATTACATGCCTTGTCTGCCACTTATTTTCACATAATTAAGCCAAAACTGAGATAGGTTAATCTTTTTCATGTGATTGCCACACATATCAAGACATAAAACATTTCCAAAGGGCTGGGGATTTCGTGGGATTTCAGTGGTGCCACACCTGCTTTTCAAGCACAAGGTCCTGAATTCAATCCCTAGTACTGCAAAAAACAAGACAAAATAAAACATTTCCATTCCTCTTGCTTCTTCTCAGTGAGAGCCCTCTGCCCTCTAGTATTCTGTGTGCAGACACTAGTTTTGCCTGTTTTGAACTTCCTCTGAAAGGAATCATATATCATGTACTCAAGTCAGAACTCCTCGGCTCAGCATTCTGCCTGTGGAATTCATCTCTGTTGTTGCATGCTTTTCCCACTGCTCATTCTTTTTCATGAGTGCCTAAATTGCAGTATACGACTATACCAAAATCTTACTTTTTCATTGTACTCTTGATGGGCATTTAAGTAGTTTCCATTTGATGGCTGCTGGACATCAAGATGTTATTAAGTTTCTCCTAATTTCTCATTTGCTAGATGTGAGTACCTGTTTCAGTTGAGTGCACCTATACAAGTGGAATATCTAAATATACACTTGCAAGTATACACTTTATACAAGAAACTACACTGTAACAACAAAAGTAAGAAGGACAGTCTCAGAATAAAGAGTTTTTTTTTAACTTAGTGGAGACTATTGCATTGTCATTATCCTCAGCTGGAAACCACTAGTTTCCATGCCATTAGGTATTCTAGTGTCACTGACAATTTGGTTTTGACAGTGTACTTAATGAAGCCATTTTATATTTTTATCTAACATTTTTATAAACATGATTCTGCTTATTTTGTTTCTATTTTATGAGGAGAGATAGATATGATCCTTTAATTTAGCACACATATTTTTTGAGTTAGAGGTGTTTGGATAGAGGGCCATTTGAACTAATGCAGTACACTCACTCGATGATAAAGAAAAATCATTTTCCTCAATAGAATAGATGGAAGCTGGGTGTGATGGTGCACACCTGTAATTCTAGCTCTGTAGGAGGCTGTGATGGGAAAATCTCAAGTTTGAGCCCAGCCTGGGAGACTTAGTGAGACCCTGTCTTCAAATAAAAAACAAAAATAAGACTGGGGATGGAGCTCAGTGTGAAGGCCCTTGATTCAATCCCCAGTTCCTTTAGAGGAAAAAAAAAAGGTGAGTTTTGACCGAGACCCACCATTTCAGGGTGGTGATGCCAGGATATCCTCTTCTGCCTTTGCTTTGACTTTGGAGGTCAGGTACTTGTGTACCTGAGAAGCCAATGGAGAGCTGTTCAAAAGCAATACAGAGCACTTGCTGGCTCGCTACTGTATTCATTGACACACCAAACGAGAAAAAAAGAAAATTGGTAAACTTACACTCTGTTATTATTTTAGGAAAAAAAAAAAAACGTTTTAATGATGCAAGTCAGTAAAGCAAGAGTTAGTTTTCAAGATAAAACAGGAAATTAAAATGAATTCCACAGGCAAAGGATCTCATTCCCCTTCCCCCTTCTGAAAGTAGAAGTATGTAGTCAGCTGGCATGGGGGTTTGAAAAGGTAATGTGAGGTATGACAGTCTTTGTCTTTTTTCCTTCCAAATTATTGGTGCAGGTGGGTTGAAGAAACAAACATGTATGCAAAGCTTGCGGAAGAGGAGCCTTTGCCTTCTTTCTCTTCCTTTTTTCTCTAAGAACTGCTTTTTTAAAATTCTAAATATTTTGATAGCATGTTTATATCTGAGTTTTGTTGTATGTAGGTGTCAGCTATTGACTTCCCACTTGGAAGCTCAAGCTCCAACCTCTTTCAGTACCCTTTCTCCCAGTGCAGTTCAGCTGTGATGGTAGGTAGATCAGTATTCAGTTTTTTCTTGTTAGGACTCTAAATTATATGCGTATTTGAGCCTTTTCATATATTATGTTGATATTTACCTACACAGACTTGTGTTACTAGAGATACTGTTTTTTATTTGCTTTGTTTTTTGTATATTATAACTATCCAAATTCTGGCTTTTCACCCTTTGTTTACCTCTTCCCCGCATGTATTTAGTTGCTTTGTGTGTTCTCTTAAGTTTTACCTTTCGGAGTCCTCTAGGCTGTCTTAGTGGGCCGTTGCTGTCCTTTTTATCAGCGGTTGCACTGAGGATTCCCTCAGCTATCCCCCTGTGTTGGAAACCTTTTTGTTGTATTCATACAGTTTTTTCTTGATTATTTTTTTCCCTTATGGTAAAGCCCATTCTACTGCAGATTTTTATCCCCCACCCCCTAAAACAAATCTGTAGGAGACATAAGTTTGTGGGGAGATGCATTTCTAAGAAGGCTTTTCCTGTTGTCTTGCCTGGGCAGAGAATTCTGCATTTGAAATTTTTTCCCTTTACTGTTTCTTCACTTCTTCATTGTCTTCTATCTTCTAGGGCAGCAATGGTGGGTGAACCTGTGGCATGTGTGCCACAGTGGGGTGTCCGTTATCATTGAAAGGTTTAAAGGGTTCACCGTCACTGTTCTAGGGTTATTAAGAGTCTGAAGCCATTTTGGTCCTTGGTTATTACTAATTTAACTGTTTGATAACCTGTCAGTATTTTTATTTAAACTTAAATTTTTTTTTTCTAATGAACATCTGATAAGACCTTTAAAACTGGAAATTTACCTTCTGATTTTCTGAAATTTTTGAGTTATGATTTCCTTTTTCTGTTTGTTTGGTACTGGGAATTGAACCCAAGGCATTCACACATGGGGGGCAGGGGTTATCCCCAAACTTGTTACTAATTTAGTTTTTATTTTGAGACAGAATCTTGGTAAGTCACTAAGTTTCCCAGGCTGGGCTCAAACTTGCCATCTTCCTGCCTCAGCCATCCAGAGTGCTGGGAATACAGGTTGTGCCACTGCACCTGATATGATTTAGTTTGCTTCCTTTCAGAAACTTTTTTTCATTTTGATACTGATCATTTTACATTGATAATTTCCTTTTTTTACCTTTTGTCTGATATTTCCATGTCTTTTGGTTTTATTTTCTGGGTGGTTTCTTCTACTTTATCTTGTATCTCTACTCTAGAAGTCTCCATTTCTGCTCTCATATTTTGAGTTTGGTTTATTGAGGTATTATTTACATTGAATAAAATTTGCCTTTTTTCTGGATAGGTCTGTCTTTTTTGTGATGTGTGACACATATAATTATAACAGCTCAAAGAACATATTTCACACAGTTTCTGTGGGTCAGTTGTCCGGGGGGCCTGGTGAATCTTCTGCTCCAGGTCTGACAGATCTGTGAACCAATGTCAGCCAGGACTAGGGTTTCATCTGCAATCTGGGATCTTCTTCCAGTCTCTCCTGTTGGCAAAATTAATTTCCTTGCAGTTGTGGAACTGAGGATCTTAGCTTATAGGGACTGTCTCTCTCTTTTGGCAGTTAGTTCATGATGCAGTTTTTACTTCCTCAAAGCTAGCAGGAAAGTCTTTCTGACTTCTGTCTCTAATTTCTAGACAAACACCCCAAACAAACCTTACCTTTTTAGACACTGGGTACAATACTCTTTAGTGATAAACTTAAATTCAGCTGATTAGAAACATTTGTTGCATATGTAAAATCCCTTATTCCTTGCCATATTAGCCAGAATATCAGATTTCAAAGAGTTTTGGTTCTTGGATCACATTAAGAATGAGAAGTGAAGACAAGGGTTTTATAAATAGGGAAGGGTGAGGGGGGTGAAGGGAGGACAGGGGTATGGGGAAAAATAACCAAGATACATCATGTAAAGCTAAAAGATCCCAGTGATGAATGTAACTATTCTTTACCTTAAATGTACCGATAAACTTAATGGAAAAAAAAAAGAATGAGACATTCAGGGCCAGAGAGTTAGCTCACTGGTGCCTCCCTGCCTTGCATGTGTAAGGCCCTGAGTTCAATTCCCAGTACCAAGGGAAAAAAAAAGAATGAGACATTCAGCCAGGTGTGGTGGTGCACACCTGTAATCCCAGCACTCAGGAGGCTGAGGTAGGAGAATTGACAGTTCAAACCCAGCCTAGGCAATTTAATAAGATTCTACCTCAAAATTTAAAAAATAAACAGTTCTAGGGAGGAAGCCCAGTGTAAAGGCCCTGATTTCAATGTCTAGTCCTGTAAAAAGGAAGGAAAAAAAAAGAGACATTTAGAAGTTGTAGTTGCATTATTATATGTGTTATTGAAATATAATCTGGTAGGGCCATTCCCTTGTGCCACCTTTGATGTCATTGACTTTTGAGTCCACTTTTGGGCTGGTAAATCCCTCCAAGGAAGATCTTCTAACCTATCTCCTGCCTAGAGGTTGGGAGCCTAGCTGCAGCCTTGTGGGAGTGAGGAGGAAAGGGGCCACGCTCCAAGT